TTTAAAGTTTTTCTAAACCCAAGTCATTAGAAGATGCCATGTGTCAACATTTGTTTTTTAATTTATATATTGAGAAAAATTAAGAGTTTTTTATAACTTTAACAATTAATTTCTACAATTTAATAGCTAAGTATAATGAAAGCTTATTACAAAAATTAAAATGTAACATAAGGATGACCAATTTCAGTTTTTTTATTCTTTAATATCCACCAAAAATTATAATTCCAAATTAAATGTGTTATTGTAAACTTTTGACGGTTTGAAAATATATATTTATTTATTAATCCAAGCAATATATTATACAAAAACACTTAAAACTTTAGATAGATAACTACGATTTGAAAACAAAAAGCCACAAAAAACTTGTATAAAAAGAATCGTAACGTTAACCAAAAAAGATGTCGTGAGAAAATTAATTAGTTATTCTAGAAACTTTACTCCTCCACAAATTGTAAATCTAGAAAAACATAATAATTCACAAATGAATCGATGTGAAAAATAAAAATCATAGAAAAGCAATAAAAAGAGTGCGACAAAAAAAAATACAATCAAACATCAATTATTCTTTCTTTACAATTTAAAGTTCTAAAAAAATAAAACACAAAAATGCATTCCAACATATCTCTTGAGATAATGCGGATGTCTTGATAGAATCAAAATATATTACAACTTGTATGATTTTTTTAACAAACGTATTTGGTGCAAGAAAAAAGATGACCAATCATTTTTTTAGGGAACCGTAGTGAATATTGATAAATTAAAGACATATAAATTGCGGATTTGTGCAAAAGAAGATATTTTCCATATGCATTTACTGTAATTTTTATTAATGAACAGTCTATTTTTTTCACATATATCACTAATTGCATATGTCCAATAATTTGTTCCAAGTGGTTAATCTTCTAATCTAGATCATTACTTAGTACAACAACAATTTTTTGTAATATTAAATACACAAATAATCAATAAGTTTGAAATGTTGCATACTTTACCATGCTATTTTTTTTTTTTTGCTAAATACCATGTTAATTTTTAAATTCACGCAACACGTGGACA